CCCCCTCTTTTTAGCAAAGGAAATTACACTCAATATAAATTTCTGTTCACTATTCAATTTGGTTTCATTTATATAGCACCAAATTACAACAGCAGTCACTTCGAGGTGCTTTATATTTTATTAAACTATTAGACAACCCCTTATGAGCAAGCACTTGGCACTTGAGGTAAAAATTTTCTTTTAACAGGAAAAACATTTCCAGCAGAACCAGGCTCGGGGAGGGACAGGACAATATATATTATATTCAGTGTATGCATGGACAGTTTTCAGGGTGAGAATGTCAGAGGTCACACGAGAGTGGCCAGACTGCTTTGAGTTGACAGAAAGGCTAAAGTATGTAAAACAAAACTCGCTACATCAAGGTTTGCAGAAGAGCATCTCTGAAAGCACAACCCTGAAGCAGACAGGCTCCAGCAGCAGAAGACCACGCCAGGTGCTATTCCACTACAGGCTACAATTCACACACTCTCAGAAGATGGGAAACATTGCCTGGTCTAATGATACACATTAGTTAAGCTACAAACATGTTTGCAGTCTTAAAAGTTAAACTTAAAACAATATGGCACATTTGTGCACAAATATTCAAGCATGTTAACCGATACTCTAAATCTGAGACATTAAATTGATGAAGTTTTGCTACTGAAACTCTGCTATATCCCATGATGTTAATGCATCTGACGTTTTATGTAACAAAGCAAGATTTTGGTCTTAGATCAAGACCTGCTGTTTTTAACAACAGTATATTATATATACGTTTTGCCTCATAAACATATATTAATGTTACAATACAAAAACAAAATAAATGAATAAATCATTTGATTCTGATGGTGTCAGGTAGGAACTTTTCTCAGCTTTCACCAGAGCCAATGGTTCACATAAATAAAATCTGGGGCCAAACTGTCCTCTAAGTACTGCTTCCGGATGAAAACTGCACTTTATTTTCCACTTGTTTTTGTGAAACACGCTGAACGAGGCTTGTTCTGAGAGTTAAAGTTGTTTGCTGGGGCTTCACCTTCAACATCAGCCTCGCCTTCTCTTTCTGCTGCTGTTTGCAGCGCTCAGGCTCACAGTGCAGTGGTGCTGGAGGAGGTTGGGGGGTCTGAGAAGCGCGTACTGTCAGGGAATCAGCTGGACAAAAGGTGCAGTGGAGTGAGAGATTGAGGGAGGAAGCGAGGCCGGGTGGAGGAGCGGGACAAAGCCGAGGCAGTAAAGCCTCCTGCCTGATAGCCTTATCTGATTCTACTCCAGCGCTTGATGGCTTTTTTTTCACCCTGCCTTTAAAGCGCACAGGTTGTGCCTTTGGTGTGAAGCCTAGCAGAAAATGTTAATCAAGAGAGGGACTGTGTGGAGAAAGGCGAGAGAAAGGGGAGAGTCACTCTGTTGAGGCCATAATCTGTAATGAGACCGAGGCGATTCAGTTGCAATTGAGAGAGGAAGAATGGGGCCATGATGATGATGATGAGCAGGGAGGTTCACTCTTTTACCGGCGTTTGTTTTTCTGTTTTGTTCCTTTTCTCTCGTGGAGTCAGTGCTCTTGCACCGGCACACAGCCGCGGGTCACAGCTCATTTAATACACACCCTCGGACATTGTTTCCAACGTCTGCAGCTGACAGATGAAAAATACTTCTGACTGCTCCACTGACCGTTATCAGTCTGCGTATGATTTATATTTCCCTCTATGGCAAATATTGATGCTGTTTCTAGTAATCACAGTTCTGAATAACGGCTGATGCAACCCTCATTAATTATTCGCTTGTTTCTTGCAGTCTGTAGTATTGTCCACTTCCTGGTTGTCTCAGGAAGTGGACAATGCTTGTGCCGCACTCGGCAGTGAAACGTTTCACTCGCATGTGCAACTAGAAGTAGATGGACTGTAATGAAGGAAACAAACATGTAATAAGTCACCATGACCAAGTCATGCCCAGCAGCATCTGTTTCATGGTGGATTTAAAGCCCAGCCTCTTTGCTGCGACCAAGAAAGTGAATCCAGGTGGAGTGAAAGAAAGCATCTTTTCCAGAGTTGACGACATCTTTTTAATCATGTTTGTTATCAAAAGCTTTGAGGTAAGCCAATAAAAGTTAATTATCTGACCTCCTCTTCAAAATGTTAAAACCACCGGAGGTTTGTTTTAAATAGGCACAAAGCACCTGAATCAACAACAACAAAAAAATAAATACGTGTTTGTATGC